TTGGGTTAAATGGATACAAAATATTTGGCATCCTCCCTGGACATGGACCGTGTTCAGTAAACAGCAGGGATTATTAGGGTCTCTCAGCTCTCCTAGGGTGTTAATGTATGCGCCAGACATTCACTGAGGCAGGGAGGAGAGCCGTGAATGAGGGGTCACCCTCGGGGCAGAGGGGCCGCACAGGGAGACAGGAGTGGGAGCAGGGCAGGGCCCTCGGAACAGGGATGATTCGCTACGACTGGGCCGGGCTCTGTTCTCACAGCTTCGTATGACTCTGATCCTAGAGGCGGGTACTGGATTATCCCCACGTCACAGAGGAGGAAGTCGAGGGACTCAGCACAGGGGAGAGGAGGTCCCAATGCCTCCGGGGGCTGTGCTCTGAACCCTGTCCCCTGCTGTTTCTACTTGGCGCCAACAGGCACATCCAGCCCTGGGCAGTGGTGCTCCACCCAGAACCACCAGCGCCCCCCTCTCCTGTCTGTGTGTCTTCTCACCACACCTGTCACAGTCTGTCAGCCACTCCCCACTAGGCCAGTTCCCCCCACGGGTCTGTCTTCATCCTGTTGCCGCAGATCCTGGTGTGAGGCCTGTCCCCCAGGCTGTACTGGAATTGACAGATGGGACAGGCTGTGTCTGCGTGTGTCCTGGGCATGGTGGTTGGAGGACCTGGACCAAAGCAGTGGGAATCGAGGTGGAAATCCAAAGACTTCAGTGCTGACTAACTGTGGACAAGGGAGGTGGAGTCTAGACCTGCCAGGTCTGGGCACAGGTGACCCTGCATGGTGGCTGTGCAAACTGAGTCAGGGAACAGGGACTAAGGAGCAGGCAGTGGACACAGGGATCCGAGTCCAGCCTGCTGCTGCAGGCCCAGATTTGAGCCCCCAGCTCAACACAGAGGGTTAAGTCACTGGCATGGGTGGCATCATCCAGAGAGAGTGGCCCACCTAGAAGCAGGTGGAGACAGGAGGAGTCAGCGAGGCTGACCTGAGACGGAGTCGCAAGGACATGGACTCTGGAAAGGCACATGAGTTGGGGCCGTTTAGTTCAGGGGCAAACAGTTCCTGAAGCTACCGCTGTGCAATGAACAAAGCCACTGGGAGCTCAGGTACCCTCCGTAGACTGTGTTCCACCCCCTCAGACTTTAACTATGTGAAAGATTTTGCTGCTTAAAATGATGAAGCGTCAGTTAACCTGACAGCTTCATCTCCTCCCGAATGACTCCTTTGCCAGGATTTGAGGACGAAAAAGCTCTGCTCAGCTGACGTCAGTCTGGTAGGAGTGACACCTTGATACTGCTTTGAGCTTTTCCTTATTTGAAATCACACCCGCCCTGAGCACGGGGCTGAGTTTGCTCTCCTTTTTCAGAGGAGCCGGCTGAGGCCCCAGCAGGAAGGGTCTAGAAGACGGACTTCCTGGGGCCTTGCACAGAGTTGATTCCAGTGAGGGGCGGGGCTTCTTCAGGCCATGATCCCTCCAGGGAACTACCCAGGGAATGGCCATATTCCCGTACACCTGGTTAATCAAGGATGGGTCACTTCCAACTGTCCCTGACACAGACGGGGTGCTCAGCAAATATTTGCCAAGTGGACAACAATTTCATCATCTCTGTTGTCCAGTGTTGCAAGTTCCTGCCTATTGTACAAGGGGTGGAAGGGAGGCTGGGCCTCTGCGGTGGTTAATTATTCTGGGAATTCCGGGTTGCAGGAGGCAGGGAGGAGCCCAGGACTTGCCAGCTCCTGTGAGGTTAAACCAAAGTGCTCAGAACCCTGGAGGGCATGGCTCCTGTCCGCTCCTGCCTGTGGTCAGGGCTCCTGTGGACCTGTCCAGATGCATGGGGCGCCTTCCCAGGAGGAAAAGGCCCCTGGCTCGGATCAGCCTGGGCACCTTGCTGGGGGTGCACTGGGGTGGCGAAAGGGAACCTAACCACCCCCCTTGCTTTCACCTCACAGCTCACCGTGTCTCCTCGTGGAGCTGGGAGACGCTTGGCCACCTTACACGAGCTTGTCACGTGTTTCCAAACCCTGGGTTACATTCTACCCTTGGTCTTGAGAGCTTTAACACCACGCAAGGGGGGCCCATTGGACAGGCTCCTACCTGGTGGGGATGGGGGTTTGGTGGCTGAACAAAATGTAACCTTGTCATATGCTCTGGCCACAGACAGGTTTGCCTGCTGGGCAGGAAGATGGCCCTGTTTGGAACTTGAATGTTTTGTTTGCATGTAAATAGATTAGGTTGCATGTCAATGGGTTGGAAGACCACCCGAGAGGATAACGGGCCTTGGAAGCCCAGGGGCGGATGGTTTTGTTATTTTATATCTTTGATGTCTCTTCACTGTAAAAAGTGAGACAGGGCTTGGCATGTGGTCAGCAGAGGGGCATCTCAAGGAAATAATTACTTAATCAACACATAACCTGGGGAACCACTCTGCAAGTAAATCGGGCTGCATCCAGAGATCTGGAGCATTTGCTCCCTTGCCACGCTCCCCTCGCTCCCACCAGCGTGTGCTTGCAGTTCATTGCGTGGCACCGACCCCCGGCAGGCCATGAGACAGCACTACCCTGAGAACTTTAACTCCAGTTAAATTCCTCCCTTGAACAAGCTGTGTGACCTCTGGCAAATCACTCAACTTCTGAGCTTGTCTCCTTGTTTGTAAAGTAGATAATTTCTGCCTTCTCTCTGGAAATAAAACAGGATGGGCTGTTTCCCTCCCTGGCTGGGAAGCTTCTGGAGCGCAGGAACACAGCTCTCACGCGCCTTGCCCCCTCTCCCCCGGTGCCCTCCGTGCAGGAGGCACTCAGCATGCTGAATGAGCGAGAGTCCTTTAAAAAATATTAACTGGCCCTGACTGGTTTGGCTCAGCAATTAGAGTGTTGGCCCATAGACCTAAGGGTTGGGGTCCTGTGGGAGGCAACCAATAGGTGTGTCTCTCTTTTGTTGTTTCTTTTTCTTTCTCTCCCTCCCTCCCACTCTATCTAAAAATCAATGGGAAAATATCCTCAGGTGAGGATTAACAAAATAACAACAATAGTAACGACAACAACTGTAGAGCCGAGGCCATGTGCTTCGTGGGTAGGAGACACGCGGGATGGGGAACCAGACAGACAGTTAGTCAGCAGCGTGCAGCCCCCTCTCCGCCCCAAACCAGGGGCCCTGGAATGTAGCTGCTCTACACTCCTCGCCAGCCAGAGGGTGCACAGCTTCAATCACCCTCCTCAGGGAGACAGGGTGGAAATCCAATTAGTGCCGTTTGCCAACCACACCCAGGGACAGATGAAGTTAAGAGAATAAATTTCATTTCGTTACATCAGCATAAAGATGATCGATATTCTATTGATATCCTCTCCTAAACTCCCAGCCTTTAAACCCTCCAAACAAGGCCTAGGCCAGCTGGCCTTCGACTCCCCCACGTCCCTTCCCCCCCTGGCAGGCACCTCCTAGGCTCTGAGGGACCCACTAGACTTGCAACCGGGGCAGCGATGGGCAGTGGCAGCGCATCCCGGGCAACCCCCCGAACCTGTCCCCAGGGCCCCCTCCCTAGGACTCAGTGAGCCGAAGCTGGTTTCCCGGCCCTGCCTGGCTTCGCTGGCCCCAGCTTACTAAACAGCCTCTAAAATTCCCTGGACTCACGCTGCGCAACTTCTGCACCAAGTCAAGAACCCACACACTGCTGGATGGCCGTAGGCACACCCGCTCCCGGCCAGGCCCCCTTTCCAGGAACAGACAGAACATCAGCCCTCACACCAAATGTCTCGGGTCCGATTGCCTGTCAAGGGCACGTATCAAAAAAATAATAACTGTTGATGTTTACTCTGTGCCTGGCACCAAGTTAAAGTTTGCATGGATCCTCTCCCTCCATCCCCGTTTTGCTGAAGGAAGGTATTACTCCCATCTTCTGGGCTCCCTACTCGGAGGTCCCTGTCTGTCTTGTTCCTGACTGCTGCGGTCCGCTGTGCTGTTTGCTCCTACAGCAACTGGGAGTGATTTTGCCCCCCAGGGGTATTTGGTCCTGTCTGGAGATGGTTTGGGTTGTCACAGCTGAGTGGGTCCACTGACATCTAGTGGATAGAGGCCAGAAATATTGCCAAACACCCTACAGGGCACAGGACAGCCCCCAAACCAAGAGCCACCAGCCCCAAGTGTCAGGGTGCGGAGGCTGAGAACCCGGAGCTACAGAGACAGGACTCTGCTGCCGGCTCCTGGCTTGGCCCTCGTCCGAAGCCCCTTCTTCTGAAGTACACATCATTCCCATTTCACAGACGAGGACGCTGAGGCTCAGTGAGGTGGGGACTTAACCTGGGAGCTCCCCCCACCCCTGTGGACTTGGGAGGTGACCCAGCATCACCAGAGGACATGCGATGGGGGCTGCAGGGGAAGAGTAAACTCAGAGTCAGGAAAGGAGTCTGGTCACGGCTCTGTCGTGAACCCATCAGGTGACCTCGGGGGCTTGAAGATGGGGACGGGTGAGCCAGGTTCTGACAGGAGCATTTGGGGCCTTCTCAAGACCTCTGTCCCCCTCTGCACAAGACAAAGACAGAGGGAGGAGAATAGTCCCTGCCCTAGGGAGGCCTTGGGAAAGGTTCTCCTGGAGCAGAAGGGATGGCCCCCTGGTCTGCCTCCCCCCGCCGGCTCCAGAGGCTAGCCTCTGAGTGTGGGCTCCCAGAGCTTTGGACCCCCCTCTATCTGGAAAGAGATGCACTGCTTACCCACTGGGGGGCTCGGGTGGGACTCCAGACAAGTGGCAAGATTCACCTTAAATAGCTCAGGCGCCAGAGGGAGAGCCCCAGCATTAGGGGGTGGAGGATGGTTTGTTGGGGGCATTTGGTTCCAGGAACGAAAAGGTTCGGCACCCCCCCCCCCCCCCCCCCCCCCCCCCTCCCGCACTGCTCAGAGGCAGGGACAGGTTCCCAGGACCCCAGGCTCCACGGAGCTCCCTCTGCTGGGCGTGCTGGAATCCCTGGCTCCTCAGGAAACGGAGGCAGCCCCAGAGCTAGAAGCAGTTAGCACTTGGCTGTTTTATTTCCTCACCAGCAAAACAGAGGGAGGTGGGGCCTAGCTCGGCATCATGTGGGTGGCTCCTTTCCCCTGTGCCCACTGCCGCCTTCTCTCCTGCCTCCACGGAGAGCCCACAAGTCAACAGAACTCCTGGCCTCTGGGGTGTTGCCCCATGTGCCACCCAAGTTTGAGGAAGAAATGCTTTTCTGGTGAAAACAGCATCAGAACCACCAGGCCGGGCACAGCGGCTGGCTGGCGTCGCCGGAGCGTCCCGTGTGGTGTCCTGCCCAGCCTCAGCGGGTCTTCCCCCGGCCCTTAGAGATGACATCCTCGGGCTGGGCACGCATGTACCACTCCACCCAGGAGCCGTCGTAGATGGCCACGTCAGGCTTGCCGCAGAGGTAGGCCCCCAATGCCACATGACAGGCTGTGACACCGGAGCCACAAGTGGCCACCAGCGGCTGGGACAGGTCCACCTTCTGGTCCTGGAACAGGCGGCGGATCTCCTCGGGGCTCTTCTCCAGGCCCTCGCTGGTCATGAAGTCCGTGAAGGGGATATTCACAGTGCCGGGGATGTGGCCGGGTTCAATGCCTGCAGCAGGAGAGCGGGAGGGAACAGACACAGGGGTGGTATGAACGGGCCCAGGCGGCACACGCGGCCGCTGCGCCAAACCCCTCTGGGCGCACATTCCGCAGCCTCGCGGCGGGGAACCAGGCTGGATGAGCAGGCATTCCCATTTCCCAGATGGAGACGCTGAGGTTCAGGACTGCCCGCGGTCGTGCCTCTAGCAAACCGCTGGCTGGATCTGAACCCAAGACTCAGCCCACGCGTGCCCTCCTGTGTGGGGCCCATGATATGACCCAGCTGATGTCACTGAGTGCTCACTTTGTGCCTGGCACTGTTCTGGGCCCCTCGGCCGTGTCTTCTCCTTAAACCCTCTCCAAAACTACGCGAAACAAAGTACTACCTCTCTTTTGTACAGACGAGGAGACTGAGGCACACAGACGGACTTGCCCAAGTTAGTAGGGGCAGGGAATCCCCAGAGCCTGTGTCTAACCATCAGGCGGCACTGCCTGGGGTGGTAAGGAAAGCTTCTCTGAGAAGGCCCGGAAGGGTAAGTAGGATTCTGTTAGGCAGAGGGATCTGGGCCATGGTGGCAGAGAACATCTCAGGGACAGGGGCTCCTAGGGGACAGGGACCAGCATAGGCTTAGAGGGGTTAGTCATCATGGCAAAAGCCCAGACAGTGGGGAGGCTGAGGCCCAAGGGGAAACTGAGTCAGGTGGGAGCATCTTAGCAGGCCTGGATTAAGCCTTAGAGCTCTGACATGACCCCAGGGGAAATCAGACAACACTGCTGTCACTTTTACCACTGGTCACCACCCCGTTAGGCAGGTGTCACTAATCCCATTTTCACACCAAGGACTGAGATTTGCAACAAAATAAACCGAACAGGTAATGGCTCAAATCTCAGCTACTTGGACTCTAGGGGGGCTCTGCCTTAGGTTCCCCTTGCACGGGAGTGACACTCCTACAGAGAGCTGCTGGCCCATGTCACTATCTCTTCTTAGGACTTCCTGTATGGCCAGCACCAAAGCCCACAGTGAGGCTGGGATGCACCACGCATCTCTGCTTAACAGATGCAGAAGTTGGGCTCAGTCAGAGACAGTATGGAGAGACTAGCCCAGAGCAAGGACGCAGAACAAGCTCTCAACCCAGGTTGGCTACTGTCGGAGCAGGGCTGTCCCCACGCCTTGAACCCCATGGAGCAAAGTTGGCTTCCCCTCCCTGCCGGAACGATGTGACAAATTCTCGGCGCACTTGGCCAGGTCTCGGGCCGCGGAGTGGGAAAGACGAGAGGAGTGCTGCTCTGGACTGGTTTAGATCTCGTCTCGACACACATCAGCCGGCCCACCTTGACAGCAGGCCTGCCAGGCGTGTCTCCTCATCTCCCATTTCACAGACAAGCCAGCGTGGCTGAGGTTAGCAGGACGCACCCCAGTCAGGAGCCACCACCAGAGAAGCACGTGTTGATCATATCACTTCCCCTTTCTTGAGGGCATCCTGTGTGTGCCGACATTTGCCATTTGACCCTGACTGTATCCTCGAAGTTCCGCGTTCTGCTGCCACTTTACGGTTCAGAGATTGGGTGACCTGCCAGGTGTCACCGCCAGTGCAGTCTGGGGCAGGACCCTGACCCAGGTCTGGCTCCGGCTCACTGTCCTGGGTTGCTTCACTTCTCAACCCCACCCCTCCACTCCCCAGGGGCTGAGCTGAAGGACCCAGCAGGTTCAAGGTGGCATCATTCGGCCGGACTGCATGAAACTGCCACCTATGTAGTTTAAAAATGGTTGGATAGCAGCGGTTTCACAGGGTTTGACCTAATGTCGACATTGCTCTGCAGGGTTCTACGTGGCAGGCACCTTCTGAATTTACCAAACCTCTGGGAGGCATCGACCCTGTGCCGGCGGCTGCTGGGTGAGCTTTGGGCTGCACGGGGAACCAGGACACCTGTGCCCTCAGGCCATCCCAAACAGGTTAGCAGAGGGCGAGCCCAAGCTGTTCTGCCAGCACAGAGAAACTCCAACCCTGACTTGGGGGTGTGGGGTCCACTCAGGGAGCGCTTCCCAGAGGAAGTGGCGAGTTCCTGGCACCCTCCCTGAAGTAGGCACAAGAGAAATGGCTGGGGAATTACTGGCCACTCAGTGACATTAAATGTACGGGCTCCAGGAGTTCAGCTCCTGGCTGGGCTGCTTCCTGGCACCTATGGCAAGGTCGCCATTGTAAGGTTCCATTTCCTCCTCCCCTGTGTGGTGACAGCAAGCAACTTGAGGGATCATTAAAAAGCTCACACTTGCCTGGCCAGTGTGGCTCAGAGGTTGGGTGTCAACCCATGCACCAACTGGTCGCCGGTATGATTCCCGGTCAGGGCACATGCCCAGGTTGTGGGCCCGATCCCCAGTGGGGGGCATGCAGGAGGCAGCCAATCGATGTTCTTTCTCATCGATATTTCTATCTCTCTCTCCCTCTCCCTTCCTCTCTATCTAAGAAAAAAAAAATCAATAAAAAAAATGTCTTTTTAAAGAAAAAAGAAGTCAGAGCTTGACACAGGCCTTATTACCTGCTCAGATGGAGAAACTGAGAGCCACGGGGAAGGGACTTCCACATTAAATTAGTGGCACAGCCTGACGTGTCTTGGGTATAAACGAGTTGAACACTTAAGAACTGTCCTGGGGAAGAGGCGTGGGTTTGGCCAGGTGCAGGATACAGGCCTGAGAGGCCCCCGAGTGAAGCTGTGGAGGGCCGGGACCACTGACGTGGGGCACAGGTGGGCGGGCAGTCTTACTGCTGGTCCAAGGAAAGAGCCCTCTAACCTTTCTGCGGGTAATTCGACAAAATGGGTCAAAAACCTAACTGACTTACAAATACTTTGATCCCCAAATTCCACTTCTGGAAAATCATCCTAAGGAAATAACTGGGCAAGTCACTCAATGTGTGATCACAACATTATTATGGTAATAAAAAACTGGAGGACAACTTAAAAGGTCAATCAAAGGGAACGGCCACGTTAGTTCAGGAACACCCATAGCGTGATAGGGTGCAGCCAGTTAAAGTGACAATCATGCAGGGGTGGGGTGGAGTGCGCGCTGACGAAATCTGATAGCGCAGCGAATAATAAAAGGAGTAAAAATAGGAAGCGATGTCACTTGTGTATACCTTTCTGTGATTTCTGATTTTAAAAACACCCACAGAATGGCGGGTCGAGTGTTCAATTCCTTGTCAAGGGCATGTACCTGGGTTGCAGGTCTGGGATCCTGTGGGAGGCAACCAATCGATGTCTCTCTCACATGGATGTTTGTTTCTCTCTCTCCCCCTCCCTCCCTCCCACCCTCCCTTCCACTCTTACCTAAAAATCGTGGAGAAATATCCTCCGGTGAGGGTTAACAACAAAAGAAACACACCAAGTCCCGCTGCTGACTCACCTGCTTCGTGGACACCCCTCCTGCCTCCTACAGGGCTCCCCTGCCGGATCACTGCCTGAAGAATCCAGCCCCAGCAGAGGGTCCTGCTCCAACCTGGGCAGCAACCTCTACCTAGTGCCCTCTCTGCTGCCTCAGCCTTGTCTCCCCACCTCCATCACCCTCATGGATGGCACAGACCTGACCAGGCCCCATTTCTTTGGGGCTTCTCCCAAACTGGGCCTGTCCACCCCTCCTATTCTGCAGTGACCGCTACACTCACAGTACTGGGGTGAGGCTGCTTGGCTTCTCACACATATACAGGGCACCCTGGGTTCCCAAGTTGGGGGGGGCAAGTATCATTGCCCCCCCCTTGAGGAATAAAGTCAGTGGTGCTCAGAGAGTAGGATGACTAGAAACCAAATCTTGGGCCCCCACCCCATGCCTTGTCCTATAAAGGGCGGTGCCCAGAGGGCACCGAACCCACACCAGGGGGACCTCCCAGCCCCTTTGGCCAACGCTGTTACCATCTCGGGGCTCGGGCTCGGTGCCCTGGAACCGGCCGGCGGCGCGGGCGTCCACCACCTGGAAGCGCCGGGATTCGATGTTCTCCTTGATGTCCTCATACGTCTTGACAAAGGCGGGGTCCAGTGTGGCTCGGAACTCGGTGGAGACCGGGCGGCTCTTGCCTGAGCTCAGCGGGAGACCCTGGCGCAGCCAGTTGCGGAGGCCGCCGTCCAGCAATGACACCGTGGGGTGGCCGAAGATGCGGAACATCCACCAGACACGGGGCGCCGAGTACAGGCCCTGGTCGCTGGCATCGTAAATCACCACGTGGGTGTCGGCGCCCACGCCCAGGTGGCCCACGTACTCCGCGAAGTGCGCTGCGCTGGGCAGCATGTGGTCATAGGGCGACGTTTGGTCGCTGCAGTGGTCGATGTCAAAAAAGTTGGCGCCCGGGATGTGCCGCTCCTCGAACTCGCGGCGCGCATCGCGGCCCAGCTTGGGCAGATACCAGGAGGCGTCCAGCAACTGTAGGGGCTGCTTCTGCAGGGACTGCCCGGCGCGCATGGTCTTCAGCGCCTCTGCCACCCACTGCGCAGACACCAGCGCGCGGAAGAGCTGCTGTGGGGCCATGGCGGTGGCGACACCAGAGTTGCAGGCCTGGGGGACAGGGAGGATGTCAGGAGGGAATCTAGGAAGAAGCTAGCCGGAGGGCAGGAAACGCCCCGTGCTACTGGGCCTGGGACTGGGGTAGGGGCTGGGGCTGGGCCTGCGGGGGAGGTGGAGCCAGGGGAGGGCAGAGTCCAGGGAATGCAGAAAACCAGCCATAGTGAACCCAGGTCACCGGCCCTCCCCTCCCCCCCTCCCCTCCCGCCAGGATATATACCCAGGAGAGTGATGACCATGACCCCTAGAGGGCCAGGAGGGCCGCTCACTGCTGCTTGCTGGGGGCAGGTAGGGAGAGGGCCTAAGCAGGGGAAGGCCCTGCTGGCACTTTCTTATTATTTAAAATTTTTTTTCTTAATTGATTTTAGAGAGAGAGTTAGGGCGAAGGAGACAGAGATAGAAACATCCATGAGAGAGAACATGCTTTGGCTGCCTCCTGCATGCCCCCCTCTGGGGATTTGGCCCACAACCTGGGCATATGCCCTGACCAGGAATCAAACCTGCGACCCCCTGGTGCATGGGTCAACGCTCAACCACTGAGCCACACCGGCGGGCGCTGCTGGCACTGTAAAGCAAGCCCTGGCTCCTCCCCAAGGTGCTCCTAGCTACACTAGCAAACCAAGGAAGGTCCCTGGTGGAACTCATTCATCAACATTTACATAAGCAGCCTAATAGGGAGAGTAGCTGGAATTCACTGGGTCCTTGCTCTGTGTACCATTTAATCCTCACGACACCTTAGAACAAGGCAGGGCATCCAGTAGGCTCTAGAATCTAGAGGGTTTGTTGAGTGAGCGCCCTCAAGAGATTTAGTATTATTCTCTTTCACAGAGGGGACCGCTGAGGCTCACGGAAGTGCACTAACTTGACCAAGGTCAGTAGCTGAGGAGAGTGACCCAGGCTGCACACTGGGCAGCCGGACACGGGAAGCCAGACCTCCCTGACACACACTGAGTGGGCTCCCGGAGTCCAGCACAGTCAGTTATGCCCCATGAGCCTCAGCTTTCTCTCTGGGTCTTCTTGAGGCAGCACCAGTGACTTAGCCCCTCACTCCCTCTCTTCTTCACTTCCCAGCAGCCCAGTGTCTTATCAGCCCACAGTCTCCCAAAGCCGATGCGCTGGGCCCCCCCGTGCAAGCCGCCCCGAGTTCGCTAGGTGCCTTTGCGCAGGTTAGAGAAAGATGGAGGCAGAGCCTCCAGGTGAAGCCCTTCAGCTGTGCAGCCCGTGTAGGGCACAGCCTTTGCATCCACACCAGGCAGCCCTGCCACCGAGGGGAAGAGGGTGGGTAGAGAAAAAGCGTTTGGAGGAGGGCCCTCTGGGCCAGGCTAGAAGCTAAGCACAGCAGCAAGTCAGGGCAGCCTTAGGATTGCAGCCAGATTTCAACTCCTGAGGCTGGACTTCTTCCCCAGCCCTAGGCCTAAGGAGTGACAGTATGCTACCTTTGCCCAGTCCCCTCCCACAGTCTCACAGCAGGTGGACTTTCAGGAACCATTTTGTCCACAGGGCCAGGCCCTGTGCTGGATACTGAGAAACTCTTGTCTTTGCCAGGCCCTTGGGGTACAGACAGGCCACAGGCCTGTTTGAGAGACAGTATAATTAAGGGAAGGCTGGAGTTCAGTGGGGGAACAGAGGGGCCACTGGCTCAGCCTGGGATAGAGTAGGAGCTGTAGGAAGGCTTCCCGGAGGAGGGGGACTTCCAAACTGATTTGATCTTTTCAGGGGCCCGGGAAGCTTGACCTTTGGAATGAGGAGGCTGTCAGGGGGACTTTGGTTAAGGGGTCACCCCAGAAACTGTGGTTTACACCATAGCTGGATGATGTTGAGGGATGTTTTGGGCCCCCTCTTGAAGAACCCATGTGTGAACCACCACAGCTCCAGTCCCCCACCATTCTTGGGGCTCCTTGTTTTTTTCCCCCAAGGATACATTTAGAGTGAAAAGAATCACGGGTTGGGAGTCCCAGCAGCCCTCACCCCCATCTCAAAGCCAATGCAAATTTCACTCTACAGCTTAACAGGTTAAGTGAGGGTGGCCACGTTAGGCTCACTGCCTGTTTGCTTCTTATAAAGGGACTTCCAAGCCTCACCTTTTAGCAAAGATTAAATCATGAATGTAGAGGACCGGGATGATGCAAGTATATGGCTGGCGTTAATAATCATTCAAAGCAGTTTAACAAAAATCTCATTCATTCTTCAAGATTACTCTCATAGGTGGCCATTGAACAGACAGCCACAACCTAAAATTGCCCCACCCTTCCTGCTAGATTGGCAGTTCTCAGGGAAGACTGGGAGGTAGGCTCTATGTGTCACAGAAGGGCAGGGATCAGGTTCCTGTGTGCTTGGCAGGCCTGACCCAGTGCAGTGGGGGGTGCTCGGCAGCAAAGGACTCCAGGACATACAGGACAGCCCCAGGCCCATCTCAGGAGTGTCAACACCCACACAGGGGAAGTGTGAGCCCCAGGCTGCCATGCGGGTGGGCCCTGGAAGAGCAGGGCTCTAATCAGACGGGGCATTCCCCAGGGCCTTCTCCAGCCTTGTCCTTCCTGGACCCCCTCTGACCCCACTGCAAAGCACAGAGCTCAGAGGATTCACTGGATAGATGCTCATCAAAGTATGGCTTTTTGCAACTTCCTGTGGGGATATAATGTTTTCAGAATGAAACATGCTTTTAAAGGGGGATGAGAAAAGTCTTCCAGACCCATGTAACAGCATATGCAGAAGCTAAGGAGGGCGGTGTGGGCCCACTGGTTGTTAGATCTTCAGGAATTATGCCAACTGGTTGTTACACACAGCTGTTGTTAAAAATGAAAGTATATATAAACTTACAATTACATTTTTAAAAAGGCAATTATTTTTAAAAGTATGAGGCCTAGAGATTGGCAAGGTAAACAAAGGCAGCGGTGCCACGTGGGCTTCAGGTCTAACACAGCCTGGCCTCAACACCGAGTGCCCAGGGCAACCAGCCCACCTTCTCTCTCGTCTTTAAATACGTTCCTGGCCTTCCAAGCAGGTTGTGGAACTAAGTAGCACCCTGGGAGAAAAGTGCCCCACCGCGCAGGCCTCGCACAAGCTAGTTTCATTTCACTCCAGCGAGTTCCTTGCTAGTTTCTCCTGCTGGTACCTTTGAGTCAGTTGGCCTGTCCCTAGCTTATCTGTCAGGCTTTATTAGTCCCTCCTTCTTCCCTCCTGTCGTTTCTGGTGGCACCAGGTGTCTCCCCTCCCCCATCCACGGCTCCCCACCCGCCACTCACCCCGACCCCACCCTGCAGGGCGCCCCAAGCCGCTGCGGACAGTCATTCTTAGGGTAAACACAAGGGTGCGCCTTCCCTCCAAGACTGCAGCCCCCTCCTCCGCACGTGCCCCGCAGGGAGCCCCGCGCTGTGCGTCCCAACGATCGCGCCCCCGCCCCCCGCAAAGAAAGCAAGCGCGACGCTACAGCAGTTACCCGGGTCTCGGGCTCTCGGATTCCGGGTTCTGCCATAGCCCCCGCCGCAAGGTGCCCCCTCCCCGCGCCCGCAGCTGACCCCTCCTCCCGACACCAACCTGAGGCCAGCCAAAGGGAGGAGACTAGGGCACAGCCCTCCGCGGTGGCCACTCGGAGCCGCCTAAGCCCGCGCCTTCCACTGGCCGGGCCTGGGGGACGCCCGCGCCGTGGAGTTTCGCCCCGCGCCGCCCCGGTGGAGCCCAGCGTCCCGAGTGGATCTCCGGGGATCTGTGAGGCGCCACGCGAGAGGTGGGGCCCGGGGCGGGCGCGCCTGGGGGGCAGGCAACGCGGGGCCGGATCCGGGGCGCGCGTCCCCCCCTCCGTGGGCGGCGGCGCGATGGTGCAGGCCGGCTGGGGAGTTGCCGGCTAAGGGTTTGAACCGCCAACTTCTCCAGCGGGCAGGGGCGGGAGCCAGGGCAGCGGCGAGGGCGAGTAAGTGCGGCGGGGGTGGGGGCAGCGGCCGGCGCTCGGGCCGCTCGGGATTGAGCAGCCTGTTGGGTCCCCGCGGCGAGGGCGGGCGCCATGCCCCCTGGATCCCCTGACCCGATTGGGGCGGAGGGCACCGAACCGGGGCTGGACTCGGGCATCCTGGGGGCGGGTTAGCCCCGGCAGCCAAGAAACCGCAAGAGGTTTGCGAGACGAGAGGCGCAGCGGGGCGGGGTGGGCAGTGCCGGACTCCAGCGGACCCCCTCCCACGCTCCCACTGCCCTGCCCTCCCAGGAACGGGGGCTCTAAGCCCAAGATGCCATCTTCCCCCATCCTGGGCATCTTTTCGCCGTTCTTTTCTGGCGAGGTCCCGACGGCCAGTATTGTAGCTTCTAGGGCCAGCTCCCCTCTGGAGCCCGCAGAAGCTCTCGCCCCACAACCTTCCGTGAGGGGGACCCAGGGGGGGGCAGAGAGCTTTCCTTAGGAGATCTGCTGCCCTATCCCACTACACGCCCCCAGCCCGTTGGGTTGTTATAAACTCGCCACCCTGAAGGGTTCGGTGGGAAAAAAGCTCCTCCCAGGCCCCACCGCGCTGAACGCAGGGTCCTCATGCCCGTCTCTTTCCCGGTTCCCATCCGAGCCAGGTGAAGCGCAGAGCTGAGACCATGGTTCAACAGGTGCTCTACCGGGCGCTGGTCTCCACCAAGTGGCTGGCGGAGTCGGTCCGGGGTGGAAAGCTGGGGCCTGGTCTGCGGGTACTGGACGCGTCCTGGTACTCGCCTGGCACCCGGGATGCCCGCAAGGAGTACCTAGAGTGCCATGTGCCGGGCGCCTCCTTCTTTGATATAGAGGAGTGCAAGGACAAGTCGTCACCCTACGAAATGATGCTGCCTAGTGAGGCTGGCTTCTCCAACTACGTGGGCAGCCTGGGCATCAGCAATGACACACACGTGGTGGTGTATGATGGTGACAACCTGGGCAGCTTCTATGCACCTCGGGTTTGGTGGATGTTCCGGGTGTTTGGCCATCGCACAGTGTCGGTGCTCAATGGTGGCTTCCGAAACTGGCTGAAGGAGGGCCACCCAGTGACATCTGAGCCCTCACACCCAGAGCCTGCAGTCTTCAAAGCCACACTTGACCGCTCCCTGCTCAAGACCTACGAGCAGGTGCTGGAGAACCTTGAATCTAAGAGGTTCCAGCTGGTGGATTCACGGTCCCAAGGGCGGTACCTGGGCACCGAGCCGGAGCCAGATGCTGTAGGTAGGTTTCCCAGTGGATGGGATGGTCCTTGGGGAGTAAAGCCCGATGGAAGGATGGGGAATACGATGTCTGGGACCCTCTTCAGGTTTTGCCCTCAGCACCCCCTACGTAGGCCTGTTTTTCGATCTGTAAAATGAGAGGATAGAGCCAAATCTAGAGGCTTTTTCAGCTCTGATGCACGAGGACCTCCGTATGTGGTCCCACAGTTATGTGCTGCCAGGCACCTAGCATCTTATGGGGTGGCATCAGCAGAGGTGACTGGTGACATATCCACACCAGACACTAGCTCCCCACACGCCCAAAGGTATATCCATGAGCCAACACATGAATCACTAGAGGCCTCTCAAGGACACCTAGGTTCTCAGGGCCTCTCTGTTCCCCAGAAACCCTGGTAGACATCAGCAGTGTCCTTCCGCCAGCACCACCCGCCCCAGCTCTCCCAGGTCCTCTGACCTTCTCGAACAGCTGCAGCCTGTCCGCGGAGCTGTGACGGCACCTGCCATTTCATGCTAAGCACTGACATCGCATTATCTCACCCCACGGGCTTAGTATCCCCATTTTAGAGGGGAGGAAACTGAGATGCTAGGATAGTAACTTACTCGCTTAGTTAAGTGGCAGAGACAAGATTTGAATTCAGTGCTGCCTGGTTTCAAACCAGCGATCTAAACCAGGATGCAGTGCCATTTTGCACACACCCGCCTTGCAGGGCCAGGAGGGAGACTCCTCCCTAGCGGGGAGATGGCACTCAAGTTCTCCCTCTCCTGTGGAGGCTTCTACACTGCTGAGGGTGGGCATAGTCTCAGGAGAGGAAATGCAGAGAGTTCTAGAACCTCCTAACAGACCTCAGAGGTCTTGCCATCACCCCTGCTGGGTGAGGCACCTCTACAGGCTGGGACCTCAATGCTCTTGGGGCCTCTCATAGCCCAGGCTGGCCTGGGCCCTCAGGGTGGCTGGCAGCTCCTGGGGCAGTGCCTCTGTCCTCAGTCTGCAGAATCTAACTCCTGTGCAACATTTTGCCTAACTTGTTGGAAAATCTCTCTTCCTGTCTGTGCCTCCAAGGACTAGAACTCTGAAAGTTGTTTCCAACACTCTTTGAGCTGGAGGGCCTGATAGGTCACCTCATGGGACAGAAAGGAGACAGGTACACAGAGAAGGGGAGGGGTCAAGACCACAAGGCTAGTTAGTGGACGCGCCAGGAAAATGCATCCGCCATCCCCACTGCGGTTTTTTCCCAGGCCCCGTGCTTCCCTTGCCCGGCTTGCTCTCTGAAGGTCCAGAGTTGAAGATTCGAGTTCCTTTGGCACCTTCTAGAGACTCCTGGTGTGGAACTCCTGCATCCCCCTCATGGCCTTGGTTCAAGATGCCTTCTCTCCTTGGGACTTAAGCTGCCACTGGGGGAGGATTGTGGACTTGTTCCTCTAGCTGCGGTCCAAACTGCCCCGAAGCTCTGAGAGTAAGTGCAGGGAGAGTTTAGAGATGCCAGACCCAGCGTCCTCACTTCCATTTTAGAGATGAGGAGACTGAGGCTCAGGGAGGGGAACAGCCTGCTGCATGCCCTGCCTCCTGCCCCGTGGCCCTACTCCCACCGCCTGCAGTTCCTATCTGGAGCCCTGGGGATCCTAGTTGAGGTCAGCGCCTCCTTTGAGGGGGGACCTCAGTCCAGGTGCCCAGCTTCTCTGGGTTCCTTTATTATGAAACGAGAAGAGTAACGTCAGCCCTACCCACCTGGGGGTGTATCCATTCAAGTGCAGCAGTGGCTGGATGTTTGGAGAAGGGTGACGAACTGGGCAAAGGCATGGAGGGTGTGGCGCTTCCTCCCTCGTTTTCTAAGAGGCTGTGCTGGCCCCTACAAGACCTAGGGACGCAGGCACACGAGGCTGTGCTGAATGCATGGCCACCAACTTGGGGTGGGATCAGGGAGGCAGCCCAGATGTACCACCCAGGGGAATGTGGGTGCCGGGCGTGGGCTTTCCTAGGAGTGTCCCCCTGAGGGGCCGGAAGCAGAGCCTCAGAAACCCACCAGCCACTTCCCGAAGAACCTGGGCAGGCAGCCTCCTCTCTCTGGCCTCAGCTTTGTGCTCCCAGGGCCTTGGGTCCTGTTTGTAAGGGGAGCACCCACACCTGAGTATGTCCGGGGTGGCCAGGAGTAAGTCCCTTCACCTTTGAACCTTTGTGAAAGGAACACCGCTCACCTCATAGGAAGGAGCCCGGGGAAGGGAGAAAACCGGTGGGAATTGATCCAGCTGCATGTCTTCATGAACCCCTTCTGTGTCCTTCCCCCTAGTGGGGGGAGGGGTAGACCTGAAGAGGGAGAATACTGACCCTAATGAACACTTGTACCTGTAGAGCCCTTTGTGTACTCTCCTCGACACCCGCAGCCCTGCACGGGAGGCAGGTGGGGGAGAACTGGCTTCACCTTGCAGGTGGGGGAAGGGAGCAGAGACCTCTGACGAGGCAGGGTGGCCAGGACTGGGCCTCAGTCTGCCGGCACCAGGTGGGCTGTTTCCCGGGACTACTGAGCTATGCAAACACGCGGGCTGGGAAGAAAGGTCCCAGCTCTGCAGTGTCGCCATGGGATGGTGTGGCCCCTCTGCCTCCGTCTCTCCCTCGAAGGACTGGGGCTGGAGTCAGGGTTTCAGGAGGGTACCAAGATGCCTCCCAGTGACCAGGGTCAGGGGCTACCCGTGGGAGCTACTTGCACTGAATTCCTTAGTGTCTTTAGGAAGAAAGCAAGAAAGAGCCAAATAGGTTTTCCTGGCCTTGAAAGTCCACACCTATCAGTAGCCTCACCAACTTGACTGGCATCTTCTTGGCCAAAGCTAGAACACCAAGTCCCAGACCTCTGAGCAGCTGAGGAAAATGAGGGATCATCTCATCCATTCCTCCATCTCAGCCCTCTCTTCCAGGAAGGCTTTGGGGTCAGACAGACCTGGCTTTGCAACACACACCTGTGCTGTGTGGCCTGGGGTAAGTTACCTCACCTCTCTGAGCCAGGGCTCCCCTTTAGTGCCAAGAGGATCAAGTCCTTGAGATAACCATTGTTTCGGGGCCTGATGCCAGAGGTTATGCGCATGGGCGTGCCTGCTGAGCCTGCAGCTGGCGTTGGCCTCAGAAGAGCAGCAGGAGCTTCTGGGACCATCAGGCCTTTCCCCCAGTTGGCCCCTCTCCAGGGTGCTCTGGGCGGGGTTCATCCCCCACGGCGCGCGCACACACATGCACACATGCACACACGCTCGCAGGCGGGCAGCGCTGCTCATTGAAATTCCTCAGACACGCCTGAGCCCTTGCTGGCTGGCAGAGGTGAAAAGGAACCCTCGCCTCGAGGCTGGAGGTCTGCAGAAATCCCCCGGCTTCTTCACTCCCGTGGTGGAATCAAAGGAAACAATGAAGCAGTTTCATCCAGGACCGGGGAAGGAAGAACAGCATGCAGAGCAGAGCCAACACATGTGCTTTTAAATGCGCTCAGTTCAGCCCACTGCGTGGATGCTGCACACTTTCAAGTTGGGTTTCTTGGCGAAGAACACCTTTGAAGCCAACAGATGAATGGTTTTTCATTGGTAGGGTCAGCACCCATCCGATCAGATGAGAGTTTCCAGACCAAAAGAGAAAATCACCACAGGAGGAAATGGCTATCATTTTATAAGTTGGACATCTATTTAATCAAAAGAACCCTTGAGTCAGGCCAGCAAGTGTCGGAGTTCTTTGACCTTGAGTGAGAGGAACGAGGTGTTGCTGGCGCGATTGCACCCCTACTGTGTGCCCAGGGGCATTAGGGGTTTTACCGGCAGTAGCTGACTCCCACAGCCTGCGAGGCAGGGGGGTTATCTCCCCATTTCACAGCTGGGGACAGCCTTGGAGGTGCAGGGCCTGCCTGGCTGCGCACTACCCCACTGCTGCCCACTCTGGTCCTGCTCCTACCCTGGGGGCTCAGAGAGACACTCAGGCATGTCTTGGGCCCCAATCCCAGCCCCCAGTCTGCCAGGGTGTAGGGTGCTTGAGGAAGAAAGGAGCAACCTGGGCGTGCGGGGGATGCACCGGGGCCGGGGCCTGTGGGTGGCACCAGCTCTGGCTGTGGCCCAGTCCGCTTCGCCCAACTTGCTGGCTTTTCTGAAGTCATATTTGACAGAGGGGACTCACTGGGTACAGAGACAGTTCTGGAATGGACCCCAAAGCCAGCCTAGACCCCCATTCTACTTGTATCCAAGCCTCTCACAGTTGCCAGGGGAGCCTGAAGAGAGATCACATTGCCCCCAGTCTCACCTGACCCCTGGGGTGGGTGGTGAAGTGGGAGAGGCACGGCTGAGGGTGGGTGGGCCAGCCCAGTGGTCAGCGCTTCACTCCACAACACACGTCCCTTGCTCATCCCCATTTACCCCTGGGGAGCTGAGGCTCAGAGAAGTGACGTGACTTGCTTACGGTCCCCCTGCTGGTAAGTGGCAGAGCTGGGATTTGAACTTCTATCTAACACCAGGTCATATGCTTCTTCCACAGTAACAGGAAAACCAGTGACTTGGTGCAATCCTGGGTCTGCGTTTACCTCCCTCTGTGGCCTTAGGGAAGCCATTTTATTTTGCCAACCTCAGTGTATTCATCTGTAAAATGGAGTCACGTTTAATTAATTCTGAAGGTATCTGTTTAACATCTTCCTTGCTAGACTACTCTCAGAGAGACTGTGTCCCCAGCCATTGACATAGCATGGAATAGTCACATTAACCATCTCATCTGCTCTTTTCAATAACCCTGAGATGGGTCTGTACCACTGAGCCCATTTTACAGATGAGAAAACTGAGATTCAGAGAAGTGGCCTGATTTGCCCAAGGTAAAGGTTTGTAAATGGCAGAGCTGAGACATATCCCTGTGCTTTCAGGCAGGTATATTTTGGACATTCCTACATCAAGGCAGGTTTGGGGAGAGGGCATTTTGTCCTAAGTCATGAGTACTGAATGTAGGTAGAGCAGGGCATAGACTGACAACAGGGAGGGCAAAGACGTTATTTTTATTTGCAAAGCACCCTATCCTCATGGCCTCGGCTGGTGGCGGCCTCCAGGCCCCACTTGCCCCCAACCCCATGTCTTTCTAACCCTGTTCTTCCCTTTGTCCTCTGTCCCTGCCCAGGACTGAATCCGGGCCACATCCGAGGTGCGCTCAACATGCCGTTCATGGACTTCCTGACCGAGGATGGCTTCGAGAAGAGCCCAGAGATGCTCCGAGCTATGTTCGAGGCCAAGAAGGTGGACCTCGCAAAGCCCCTCATTGCCACGTGCCGCAAGGGTGTCACCGCCTGCCACGTTGCTCTGGCCGCCTACCTCTGCGGCAAGCCTGACGTGGCCGTCTACGATGGCTCCTGGTTTGAATGGTTCCACCGGGCCCCCCCAGAGACCCGCGTGTCCCAGTGGAAGGACGGGAAGGCCTGAGCAGACAGCGTCTCCTCCACTCACCCACAACTCAGCCGGGTTAGTGACTGGCCGGCGTGACCTGTAGCTGGCCCATACCCGTTCTCCAAGATCGACAAGGTTTAGAATTGCTGGGTAAAGCTCTCCTTCCCCCAACGACACTGGAATAAATGGCTTTTACTGCGTCGCTGTGTCTGCCTGCTCTGCCTGGCTTCCATCCTTGCCCGCCCGCCCCGTATCCCAACTCCTGCAGTTCCTTAGTCCCTCCGAGGAAAGTGACCTTTGTAGCACTGCCAGCTGGGGAAGCCACTTCATTGTCTAGTTCTGGCCGAGGCAGCCGCCGTTGCCCCTCGGCCGGCGGAGCAGGCTGGGACCTACCTGGAAGGGGCACCCCGAGCCAAGAGGCGAAGGCCCAGCCCTCTGGGTGTGTGGGGGCGAGCAGCTGGCCTCCCAGAGGACTGTCCACAGGACTGTCGCACAGCACGGCCCTGGGGCCTCAGGAAAGCAAGCCACAGGAAAGTGGCCACCACCTTAGGTCACCTTCCTGGCTCAGAATAAGACCCTCGGGGGTAGGTGGGGGAGGGGCTGGAAAAGCAGCCTCAGTCCGAAGCTACCGTAGAAGAAAGTCACCTAGCAGACTGGACTCCGGTGGCTGGATCTCAGTTTTCTAGAAACAGGCTCTCTTAACCCTCCTTTGGGCCAATAAGGTGATTCCAGGCCCCTCCTATTAGGGGTTTCCTGTGGCCCACTGTCCAATTTGGAAAGAAGTTCTATTGCGGGTAAAATGCTATCAAACAGCGTCACAAGCTACAGAGAAATTGTTCGTGAAAGGAAGAGTCCATCAATGTGGCAGACTTCATTGTTGCCTAACGTCGAGACACGGCCATGGCCGCCCAGCCCTTAGCGGTCACCACCAGCTAGACCCTCCACCAGCAAAAAGATCATGACTTGCTAAAGGCTCAGATGATGGTCAGCATTTTGGGGCAATACCGTATTTTAAATCAAGGTGTGTACATTGGTTTAGACTGTAGCGTAATCATAATTTTCTATGCGCCAGGGAAGCAAAGATTTCTGTGACTTGCTTTATTGTGATACTTGCTTTATTCCGGTGGTGTGGAACTCAGCCCACGATCTCTCGGGTTTGCCTGTGCTGTTCTGTGGAAACCAGTGAGGAGGCAAGTGTGTGAACCCAGGCAAGGGGTGGTGCAGTTTGGACCGGGGTCAAGGGGAAGATGAGGTGGGGAAGGGGTCTGAGGCCGGAGTAGTTTGAAGGACTTGTTGATGGACCGCTTATGGGGTTAGCTTAGAGTCACAGGTGACGTCTCTCTGCCAGGCAGTGTTCTAGGCGACAGGCCTTCCCTGGACCCCCACCCCTGCTGAGCAGCAGCAGGCAGGACGAGCTGCTGGCACCAACCGCAGGAAGTCACCGCCTTCCAAATCTTCTGAAGCTTTATGTGTCGAGAGGAGAGGGGAGCCTCACTGTCCCACCCCCGCTGTCATCTTACTCCTTGGTTCCTGGTCCCTTCGTGTGCGGCCCAGGCAGCTCAGGTCCATCGTCCCTCACCTCCCCACTCCCCTTGACCTATATTTATGCTCGTGAACATATCCATGCCTTTATTTTATTTTATTTTATTATTTTTATTTTATTTTATTTTTTATCCTCACCCAAGGACATTTTTCCATTTAGTTTGGGTAGAGTGGGAGGGGGAGAGAGAGAGGAGAGAGAGAGAGAGAGAGAGATCCATGTGAAAGGGACACATTGAGTGGCTGCCTCCCACACGACCCCAACTGGGGCCAGGGACAAACTGCAACCGAGGTAGTGATCTTAGCAGGAACCTGGGACTCTCTGGTGCGTGGGCTGACGCTCTAACCGCTGAGCCAAACCGGCCAGGGCTGTCCATGCCTTTAATATGTGAGTCAATTCGAAACTGTTGAGCTCCAATGCATCCTTCAAAATCCAGCTCAAAGGGCCCTTCTGTGAGCCCTGTCTTCTTTCCCTAGATAGAACGAATCCCTCTCTACTTAATCCTCTGTAATCCCTGGAACTTCCTTCCCACTTGATGGTGCCTGAGCCCTCTGTGCCTGGCACATGGTAGGTGCTCGGGATATTTTGCCCCTCAGTACTGGCTTTCTATAGCCTCTGTTCCCTGGGGTTGGCTTACCTGCTCTCTGAGGTAACAGAGCCTTGTGTATAGTGATCACCATGGAGACTCCAAGGAACAGTGGGGGAGGGCTGCTTCCTAGCAACCACCCATTGGTCTTCACCAGCAGTTGTACAGTGCAGATCAGTACTCCTGGGCTTCAACACATACCAGAGCAGCTCATGTGTTTTCTGACATTATAAGAGAGTGGAGAGGTCAGGCAGAGACTTGCAAGGTGGGCCAGGGGTCTGTCAGGACCCAGATTTCATCTTCCTTCTCCCCATTCAGAGTTGCTTGTGAGTGAAGAGTCCCCAGACTGCATTGGACCTCCTCTTCCTCCCTGCTTGATCAGCGCCCTTGGGACTTCTCTCCAGGTCAGAAACTGCAGTGAGTCCCCAGATCTGTGCCCTGGGCGTGCCATTTGGGCAGATGGGAAGCCACTGTGGTCACTTTAGCTGGGTGGCTGGGAATGGGGAATGGCGTCAGGAGCAGAAAACTCGGAGACAGAAGATGTGGGGCTTGGTTTCAACACCACCTTGGAGAGGCCCATTTCTTCCCTGAGCCTCAGTTTCTTCATCTGTGAAAGAGGGTGAGTTAACTTGCTCTGAGCATTCCACCGAGTCCTTGTGAAGATAGACTAAGCTACCAGATTGCATAACAAATCACCCAACACCTAGTGGCTTAAGCCAACAAGATTACCTCACAGTTTCCGTGGGTCAGGAATACAGATGCAGCTTCAATGGGTCCTCTCTCTCAGGTCATCTCACAGACTGTGATTGAGCTATTGGCTGGGGCTCAGCTAGTCTCATCTCAAGGCTCAACTAAAGAAGGACCCCCTTCCAAAGCACCTCATATGGTAGAATTGCTGAACTGAGAGCCCCAGTTCTTCATGACTTGTTGGCCAGAGGCCACCCTATTTCTTGCCCCATGGGCCTCTCCAGAGGGCAGCTCCTAACATGGAAGCTGCTTTCATCAGAGTGACTAAGACAAAAGCCAGAGAGTGTGAACAAGACGGTTGCAGTCTTTCATAATCTCATTTTGGAAGTGGCATCCCATCACTTTTGTCATATTCTATTTGTTAGAAGCAAGTCAATAAGTCCAGCCCACAGCTGGCGTGGGTAGTGGAATGACCCATGTCAACTGCCCCCATCTCACCCTCAATAATGTATGTCCCTCCCTCATGTAATATACATTCTTCACCTTCAAAGATCTCCAAACATCTCACCTCATTACAGCATCTCCTTAAAATCGAGAATCGGGTTCTATAAATCAGGCCCAGGTGTGGATGAGGCTCTTCAGGTGTTGTTCTTGAGTTCAGGCCTCCATCAGTAGATCTGGGAAACTGAGCTATCTGCCCTGAACACACCTGACATACAGTGGTGCAGCAGGTGTAGGATAAGAGCTGCTGACATTCCTATTCAAATATGAAGAAAATGGAAACATGGAATCACTGGTCCATAGCAATTCTGAAATTCAGTCAGGCAAATGTTGGACTTTCCTTATTAGGTTTCAAGGCATGGAAAGAATTCTCCATAACTCTCAGCTCTGCCCTATAGACCTTTGTTCCCAGTCTCTAATTTATCCTTTAAAAAAATAAATAAGTCCTGGCCAGTTTGGCTCAGCAATTAGAGCACCAGCCTGTGGACCAAAGAGTCACAGGTTTGATTCTTGTCAAGGGCATTCATACAGGAGGCAACCAATCAGTAATCAGTGTGTCTCTCTCATATTGATGTCTCCCCTCCTACCCCCCACTTTATCTGAAGATAAATGGAAAAAAATATCCTCAGGTGAGGATTAAAATTAATAATAATAAAATAAATAAATAAAAGGTAGTATTTGCTTGCAGCTGGGTGGTTTTTTCAGACTATTTTCTGTCAGTAGGATTTGGAAGTCCACTGGTCTCTCTTCCTTTTGAACTATCTCTGTCCCTTTCACGCCAGGCTGGTGGTATCGTTTCCCCCAGAACCGCACCTCTGCACCCCTCAGTTGGTGCTGCTGCTGAGGGAAAGCACCCTAAGCTTCCTCGAGGCCCTGCTATTCCACTAAGAGGATCGTGAGGAACAGCTTTCTCTCTCTTAAGGGCCCACTGGTGACTGAATAACACTGATTCTTTCATCGTTCTAAGATTGTAACAAAAGGTCTGTACAGTCGCATCCTTGGCTACATTTTCCTGACAATGCTCTGAAGCCCTCTCTTAATTTTAGCCTCTTTTGGCATCTGGAGAGGATAAGAATGTTCAAAGCTATTAAATCCTCCTTCCTCTTTCCTTAAGAGCTCCCCCTCCAGCCCTCTGTCCTCCACTCTGCACTGCAAGAGCAGGGACCTCAGGCGCCGCCAGGACGGTGTTTGGAAAGCTCGTTGCTACATCACCCAGTTCATCGGACATGCTCTGCTTTCCACACAACTGCCGAGGACTAAGTTTCTGTCCCTACCTAACAGGGACACTTCTTCTCTGGGTCCTAGAACATCCCTCACTTCGTTTCCTGCCTTCAGTGGCAGAGCCCTCCAAGTCCACATTCCTACGATCAGTCTCTGTGAGGCCATTTAGACCTTTTCTGTTATGTTCCTCAAAATCCTTCCAGACTCTACTCACTGCTTGGTTCCTAAGTCACCCCCACATTTTAGGTATCTATTACAGCAGGGCCCCATTCTTGGTACTTAGGTATATATTAGCTATTGTTGCATAACAAATCACCACAAAGCTCAGCAGTGTAAAATCAAGTGCTTAAGAAAGGGACACGTTCTCTGTCTCACAATTTCTAAGGGTCAGGATCCTGGGTGTGGCTTGGCTGGGTCCTCTGGCTCAGGGTCTCCCACAGGCTGTAATTAATGTGCCAGTTGGGCTGTGTTCTCATATCAAGGCTCAACTGGGGAAGGCTCATTCAGGTGGCAGGATTCATTGAGTTACTTATCGAACCCTGTTACACTAAGGGTGTCTAGCAGCAGAGCCTGCTGGCCAGAGGCCCCTTCTGTTCCTGACTCCTGAGCCTCTCCATAGGGCAGCTCAAAACATGGCAGCGGCTCCCCTCAGAGTGAGCCGGACAGAAGTCACTGAGCTAATGTGGAAGTGCCACCCTCTCACTTTCGTCACATCCTTTTGATCTGAAGCAAGTTGCTAGGTCTAGTCCACATCCAACGGGGCCGTTTTGCACAGTGTGTGAGTACCAGTGGGGTAGGGATCAGAAGCTACACTGTCACCAAACAATTAAGTAAAAACTTAATATGGTATTTTTTCAAGATGATAAAATGAACCCAGTTCTTAAACTATTCCGAGCTGACCAGCAGATCAACTTGCTGGGTGACCTAAGGCAAATCACACTCCTCTGGGCCACAGTTGATCAATAAAATGAATTGGTTGGATTATCTTATCTCAAAGATCCCTTCGATGGACTACACATCCATTATACAATAAATTGTTTTATGTCATTTCAAAATTTAAAAAAAAAAAAAAAACTTTAAAAAATGTGATAAAATAAGGTAATATGAATAAGAAAAAAATCACCAAGGAAAAAGAAGCACAATGCTAAAGGTGCAGAAGCTTTTGAAGACGCCAGAACAAAGACTTAAATTTAGCCCAAAGGTGTATCTTTGGAGGAAAGACAGGTTACACCAGAGTGGGACCCCGGACCCCTAAATTTGGCCCTGTGACGTATCTCTGGAGGAAAGACAGGTTACACCAGAGTGGGATCCTGTTCTCAGCCCTCCTCCATGGAGGCGAAGTTGGTTCCCTTCGCTTGAGCCTGAGTGACCAGCTGGTAAAATGGACAAAACCCTATTTTCAGGGAGGCAAATAGTGACAGGATGGGAAACCTGGGGCAAAACCCCGCAGCCAGGGGAGTGTCGGGTGGTGCAGATGGGGGAAGAGGAGCAGGAGGAGGAGCCCAGGCCGCAGGCTGGTTGAGAAAGGCCTTTAGGACACTTACCGTGGGGGTGACCAGGGCTTTCCAGAAAGGGCAGGGCCTGCAGGGGTCCAGGAGGCAGACCCAGTGCCAGGGGTGATGGGGGACGGGGCCGGAAGACCTCGAGCGCCCGAGCGCCCCGAAGGCAGAGGCGCAGAAGGACCTCTGGCCGGGCCTGGGCAGGTGGCCACAGGTCTCCTGGCTCCGCTCTCAGCGTGCCCCATTCACAGAGCCTCTGTGACACCTGAGACGACGGTCTACTGCTTTGTCTACAGGACTGAGCTTGGAACGAGAGTCCATGGAGCTGGGCCACCGAGCAGGTAGGATCGCCCTCAGGGAGCACTCAGCAAGGACACTCAGTGCGTAGCTAAGGCTTTGGGGGGGACTCCCGGGGGCAGCAGGACTAACCCTTCCCCTCAGGCTTGCTGTGGCTTTCAGACCCTCCGGGTGGCCCTGACTTCTTTGGGGTGTTCCGTGGGGAACAGAAGGAAAAGGGAGGGGAAGGAGTATTGTGGAGCCCGTCTGCCCAGCCTGGGGTTCCGGCCCCGCCACCGTGCCGTCCTCGGGGCTCAGGGGGAGACAGCAGCCCCTGTGGGCACCATGTTGACATAAGAAATGTCTGAACCTGTAGAGAATTTTTAGGAGTTTATTTGAGCCGAACTGATAGCATATGCCTGGGGTCAAGATGTCATTTGCTCTGGAGAAAAAATTTCTGTTACGCATTTGAGAGTAAGGAGGGACGTAAGGAAGGCTGCTGGGGTGGGGGAGCAGGCTGGGGCTGGCTGCAGGTTAGTTGAGATTATCTGCTCTCTTGAGGATAGTTACATCTTAAAAATATGTTTTTATTGAGTTTTTTTAGAGAGAGAGGAAGGGAAAGATAGATAGAAACATTGATGTGAGAGAGAAACATCGATCAGGGGATGGGCCCACAACCCAGGCATGCGCCCTGACCGGGAATCGAACCTGGACCTCTCAGTCCATGGGATGACGCTCAATCCACTGAGCCACTCTGGCCGGGCGCGGGTGGTTACATCTTAGAAGGAGAGAGCTGAAAGGGTGGTCACTATTAGAATGGGCGGGTCTGTCCTGGCCGGTTTGGCCCAGCGGTTAGAGTGTTGGCCCATGGATCAGAGAGTCCCGGGTTCAGTTCCCGCTAAGGGCACGAAACTCGGTTGCATTTTGTCCCTGGCCCGGGTTGGGGTTATGTGGGTGGCAGCCACTCAATGTGTCTCTCTCACATTGATGTTTCTCTCTCTCTCTCTTCCTCCCTCTCTCCCTCGTGCTTTATTTGAAGATAAATGCAAAAAAAAAAAATGTCCTTGGGTGAGGATTAAAAAACAAAACAAAAGAGGGGTCGGTCTGAAAGGGTGGTCACTATTAGAAGGGGGAGGGGCACAGACAGGTCTGGGCTCTGTGGGTGGGAGGCACATGTAGGTCATGAGTGACCCAGGCCCGGGCAGGTGTGTGGCCCGGGGGGGGGAGAGAGTGTGGCACCGCAGCAGTGTGGACAAAGATCTGGAGGTGAGAGACGGCTGGTGCTCTGAAGGAAACTATGTCCTGAAGGCTGGAGAGCGAGGTGGGAGAGGCCAGGCCAGGTCCTGGGCCAGATCACGTGGTCCTCACTCTAGCAAGTGAGCGAAGATGCTCTCTGCCTGCTTCGCAGGACGGAAGGAGTGGAGGGAGGGTCAGGTTGCAGCGAGACTCCTGCAGTGCCAGCTGCAGACCTCGTTCGTTCAGCAAACATTTAACTCCGGGGCCAGGGGCTGGCCGTAGCTCACTCACGGGGTCCCTGGTGCCTGGCACAGCACCCGCCACGCCCGGTTTGGGGGCTGTGCTGGCTCTCTGAGCCGGGGACACGCACTCAGCCTTGGCCACTACAGCGCTCATAGCCCCAAGGGCGGGCAGAGGGGCAGGCAGGAGCACGGCCTGGGAGAAGTGGGGAGCCCTGCCCTGGAGCCCCGAGCCCCGGGCTCTGAATGCTGGGGGACCTCTGGAGGAGTCCATCCTGCCAGGCCTCAGTCTCCCCGCGAGCAGGGGAGGGGCCGCGGCCGCTCAGGTGGGTGCTGAGTGCTCCTCAAGCTCGTTGCCTCCACCCTGAAGCCTTGGTTTTCCCTGGAGGCACCCCTTTGCCCAGCTGCTGGTTGTGGCAGAGCCAGGGCAAAGGGAGGGAGGCTGTCTGAGTGTAGCGTCACTCCGGGAGTGATGCCCTCAGAGCCACCTGCCCGCACCCTGACCATGGTGGATGTCACCTCCCCTCCCACGCACAGGGCTCTCTGGTGGGTGGCAGGCCCCAGACTGGCCGGCCGTGGGCCCCACCTGAACGGCCCCGCCCCCCCAGGGGAAACAAGGCGGTCTGTAGCTCACCGGGTGGGGGAAGGGAAAACCCAGGGATGACAACCGGGGAGACTCGTGAGGCAGGACGGGGACAGAGCTGTGGAGCTGAGCAGAGGGGGCTGGCCCCACAGCACGGGGTGGGTGTCGAGAAGGACTCCTTGGTGAGGTCACACTGAAAGGAGGGGTAGCATTTGGTTTAGGGAGGAGGAGGGGGTGACCTTCTAGGCGGCAGACCAGCCTGGGAAGTGCCGGGGAGACGGGACATGCAGGGGGTAGTGGGGAGGGGAGGAGGTGAAGAGGACAGAGACATCAGGTTGGGAGCAGGTGACCCCTGGGGCTGTGAGCCGGGGTGAGTGGGAGTGGGAGGGGCGGGAGAGGAGGGGTGAGGTGTGCAGATGGGACCAGGTTGGGGAGACACCACACCACGCACCCCCGGGTGAGCCCGGAGAATAGAGGGGGGAAGTGACGGGGACGGGGAACAGCTCAGAGTGGGGAACAAAGCCGGGGGCCCGGTCCAGCTCTGGCCCTTTTCAGCTGTGTGACCTGGCCAAGGCCAGTCTGCCCCGTGCCAGCTCCCAGGCTCAGCCCTCATTGTCAAACCACCTGGAATGACCCTGGCCCATGGGAGCTTTGGCAGCTGAACCACTTTCTCTGTTTTCTTTCCACATTTCTCACCCATGCTTTTGGCTCTGTGACTTATCTCTGTTCCCACCCCCTTTCTGCTCTGGATCTCTGGGGCTCTGTGTCTTCTGTTCCCCCTCCCCACCCCCACCATGGTCTCCCTTCCTGACCTCCACTCTGCTTTGTCTGTCTGTCTCCTCCTCCCTCTCCCTCCCTCTCTCCCCTCTGTTCAGGTTCAACCGCTTTGACCAGGGCCCATCTGAACAAGGAAGGCCAGCAGGACACGGACCCCAGGAGAACTGCCCACAGCCCCCTGGACACCTCCAAGTTCCAGTACCAGGCCCCCGTCCCCCCGCAGCCGCCCCTGCACCAGGGAGAAAGCCCCCTGGGGCAGGCCCACATGGAGGGGATCTGGCCTCCGCCCCCCTCAGCTGCCAGCAGGGCCACCTCTGGGATGGACTCGCGGCCTGGCTCAGTGAAGAAGGGGGGTGACAGACCCTCCTCGAGGGAGAGCAGGGCCATTTTCCAAGACGGGGCTCAGCTGTGCCAGGGGCTGAAGGAAGGCCCCAACTCGGGGGCCGAGGGCCAGAGGAACAGCGTCATTCCTCACAACATTCGCCACAAGTTTGGGAGCAGCGTGGTGGACCAGCTGGTCTCCGAGGAGCAGGTGTCTGCCCCGGCGGGAGGCCAAGGGGCGGGAGGGTGCTGCGTGGGACTCACCGTGAGACCCCATGGAACCCGCTCTGGAGAACAGAGTCCCTGTAATAATACCACCAGAAAGTAGTGTTTACTGAGCACTTACTATATGCCGGGCACTGTGCACCGTTTAAACTCTTCACATTTCATTTCACCTTCCAACCAGAAAGGTATTATTATCCTCCTCTTAAGGGGAAGGAGCCCACGGCTTAGGAAGGGTTAAGGGAGTTGATCAAACGTACCCAGCTGCACGGCATGAGGACCCAAACGGGGCCAGGAGATCCTGGAGCCCTGGCCCCTAACGACTTTGCAGTTACAAGTCTTGTGTTTGAATTAGATGCTTCTAACTCACACAGTCTGGAGGAGACAGCACCAGACAGCACTGGTTGGGAACCAGAAGACTTGGGTTGGAGTCCTGACTCTGCCCCAAGGGCAGGGCGACTTTGTGGTCGCGACATCTGTGAAGTGAGGCCGCTGGACTAGACCCCGCTGGCAATACCCGGCATGCAAACCACAGCGCCCCTCGTCGGCGTCCATGGCAGACGCCGCTAATCAGTGCCGGCACCTTTCCCCGCCTTTATACGCTATTTCAGCGAGGTATCACTGACCAACCGAAAATTGAGATAAAATGCACCTGCCGTTTCTGGCCAAGTGCTGAGGGCTGTCCCTGCTCTGGTGTTCCGAGACGCATTTCCAAAGCGACCTTCTCAACACTCAGCTTCTCCGCCGTGTGGTAGGCTGGGCACGAGCTATTGCTTCCTTTGTAACGTGCAGCCAAGGCCCAGAGAGGGCTTCCCTGTGCTTCGGGCCATGCTGAGCTAGGGGAAGGTCCAGATTCACCGGTCATCTTAAGGTGCAGTGAGCCTGCCCGCCGGCTAAGGTGGGGTCACAACCCCAAATGTTGTGCTTCACTTGGAGATCTTGTCCCAGTTTGGGATGGTTGCTCTGTTTCACGGCCTCTCTTGGCCTTCGGAAGGTGTCATTTCTCTCTTCTGATTGGCCCAGAGAGGATTAGAGACTTGCCCAAGGTCAGCAGCTGTATGTGGCAGAATTGGGACTCAAACCTGGGTTTACTGACTCCTGGGCCTGGGCTCATCCGTTCTGGGCCTCAGTTTCCACATTGGTCCATGCCATCAGAGGAGCCGCTTGGGGCTGACCAGTGTGGGGCCTGGTTCCCGGAGGCCGGCTGGGCTCTGTGGTTCCCCAGCTGTGTGGACACTGAGTCCCCGCCCTGAGCCCAGCTCTCCTCACTGACAAAATGGCAGGACAACTATCACCTTATAACGACCTCTCCCCATGAGGTACACAGCAGGTGCTCAATGCAAGAGGTGGTTTATGATCACATCATCTCTGATGTCCTGGCCAGGGGTCGGGGGCGGGGTGGGGAGGAAGGTGGTGGGATGAGAGGGGGAGGGGCCTTCAGCCGAGGGCTGCAGGCTGGGCGTGGGGTAGGGGGTGAGGGTCAGGGGAGGTGAGGGGAACTAGAAGGCTTGACTCTGCTTCTCTGCCCCTGTCTGTTCTCCGTCCCTCCCTGCCCAGGCTCGAAGGGCCGTGGAGGTCTTCGAGGGCCAGAGGAGGGCGAGCTCGTGGCCCAGCAGGACCCAGAGCCCCGTGGAAATGGCCTCCATCTTCTCCGACTACTACGATCTGGGCTACAACATGCGGTCCAACCTGTTTCAAGGTCAGGTCAAAGGGCAAGGTTGGGGCTGTGAACACCCAGGGTCCCCAAGGGACAGGGAGACATCCCAGGGATCCTCGTTTCATGGCCACCAAAGGCCTGCGGCTTGCCTTTCCAGTCCCCTGGCGAGTCTGTCCTCACCGCAGACCGCCCATCCCAGCTGGCCATCCGCTCCCCTCCCCAAACACCCTGGCGTCCTAATCTGCCAAGACCGGGCACCCCTGGCCTGGGCACCTTTGGTCACAGCGACATCAGGTTTCTGGTTCGAAGCTCAGCTCGGCCACTCTCTGGGTGTGGCCCCACCTAGGACCCTTAACCTCTCTGAGCCTCAGTCGCGATGGGGACCGTACGACAGCGTGGCCCTCGCTGGGCCGTTGGCAGGCTCTTGGCCTGTGACGGGCAGAGAGCTCAGTAGCTGGCAGCGGGCATTTCCCTTCCCAGTGCCTGGGGGTGGCACTGCCTGCGGGCAGCGTGGTTGGGGACGCTGACCGTGACAGTGTCCTGCGGGTCAGCCGTGGTCCCGCTCGCTCCCGGGGACTGCTGTCACCCCCTTTCTCAGACAGGTCAGAAGTAGCTGCCCAGGGCCTCTCAGCGGGGGGAGCTGGATCTGAAGCTCCAATCCAGGTTTCCCTCCCGCCTCTGAGCCCCAGAATCTTCCCTGGGCGCCGGGCCAGCTCCCTAGCCAGGACGTCCCTGTTCCCAAGCGGTAAATGAATTGCTCAGATGGAGGCCCGTGGCCAGCATGCAGGGGCTTGTCTGCCCCCACGACCCAGTTCTGCCTCATTCATTGCAAAAAGTCAAGTTTTTCTGGTCCTCTCCCTCCCTCCAGGCCCTCTCCAGTGTCCCCAGGGGCCTGGCAAACCTCCTCCTGGCTCCGATCCCCAGTACCCGAGGAACTAGACAGCCACTGGAACTTTCTGGGTTTTCTTTGAGCAGAGAAGGGGTGGGGCTGGGGGAGGGAAGAGAGAATAAGCTCAGATTGTCCTGTGTTCTGGGCTCAGCAATCGGCCTTCTGCGTGTCCCTTTAACAAGCATGACCCAGGACTGCTTACACACAGCCCCATGTAGCGACGTATGGGCTTGCGACAGCTCGCAAGAATCCATGGTCAAGTTCTCCTGGACTGATTGATTGGTAGCACAGTGCTGTGTTACCTTGGCCACGGTAGGATGTATATATACTCCAGAAATTGGCAAGTGCTGCAAATTAGGACATCACCTTTATGTTATTATTTTTTTTTTCAATTTTTATTAATATTTTTGTTACATATGTTTCTCCTCCCCCAGACACCCTCCTCCTGACCCCGCCCCCCACCCCAGCATTGTTGTCTATGTCCATTGGTTACACATACGTGCATACATGTTCTTCGGTTCATCTTGCCCCTCCCCTGCCCCTCCTCTGAGGTTTGTCCGTCTGAACCGTGCTAGAACGTCATCTTTAGGACACTGCAGTCAGCGTGCCCTCCCCGGGCATCCTCTCCCTTTCCACCCCCCCAGGCTGGCCTCTGAGTTGGTTTTGGGTGGGTGCGGCTCCCACGGCTGGCCAGGAGTGAGGGAGGAAACGCAGGAGCTAGGTGGAGAATGCCCTGCGACTCTCTGAGCCAGATGGAGGCAGGGAGGGCCTGTAGGCGGGAGCGGCATGGTCTGACTTGGGGAAAGGATTGCTCCCGCTGCTGTGCTGAGGACAGATGCGGGGGGTGACTAAAGTCTGGGGGGGACCGTCGGTGCTGGCTTGGTCTGGGGAGCGAGGCTGGTGCCCTGGAGGGCACCATTGTGACAGGAAGTCATGGTGAAGTGTCTGATGCCACCTCCAGGATGCTGGGCATTGGCGTTGGAGGCAGAGTGGACAGAGGAGGTGGATGAGTGGGTTTGGGGTGTGTGAGAGAAGAGTTAAGGGTGACGTCAAGGTTTTTGACCTGAATAACTGGGAGGGTGGGATCCTGCTTGCTGAGATGGAGAAAGTTCCAGGAAGGGTGGGCTGAAGAACTCGGCCCCATGCTGAGTCATAGTCTTTTCTGTAGTCTTCTAAAAATATTTACTTTTGCTTTTCCCATGCAAGCCTTTAATCCACCTGGAGCTGATTTCTGTTTGTAGTGAAGCAGGAAGTCCTGTTTAATTCCTCCTTTATGTGGATTCCCATTGCCTCAGGCCCTTTCATTGAACAGTCCCCTCCCCCCTCAGTGACCTGCCTGCACAGCTGTTTCCATCAGGGTTCCTAAGACACCGATCCGCTTCCAGGCTCTCTGTTCTGCCCACTGGTCTCATATTACACTTTTAATCACCAAGGTATTATAAGCAGTCTGGTATCTGCTGGGGTAATCCTCCCTCCCACCACCACACCCACCACAGCCGCTAATAATGTCTTGTCTATTCTAGGTCCTTTACTCTTCCCTACACATTCTAGAAAAGCGTGTCTGTTTCCATGACAAGCTCCGTTGAGATTTTGATTGGAAATACATTGATCTACAGCTCAATTTAGGGGCAGACGTCAGTTTCATGATAATGAATGTTCCAATCCATGAATATAGTATTCAGCTCCATTAACTTAAATCTTCCTTCAATATCTGTCAATAACATTTTCTAATTTTTTTCTATAAAGATTATGCAGTTTTATTTGTTAGATTTATTTAGAAGAACCTCTTTTTTTTTTTTTTGCTGTTTATTGCAAATGGGATCTTTCTGAAAGTTACATTTTGTAACCTCCCTGCTTATATACCCAGAGGCAATTTTAAATTTTTGTACATTAATCTTATACTCAGAAGCCTCGCTTGGCTCACCTATTAGTTCTAGTCATTTGTTTATAGATTCTTTGGGGCTTCTTTTCAGCAATAATAACGGCAACATTTGTGCATACACCATGTGGCATGTGCTGGGCACTGCTTTAAATACGTTTTAATTTTCACAAGAACCTTATGTTGCATAAGGTAAGTGCTGTAATTCCTCCACGCTCTCGTTTTCCGGATACAATAAAAAAGAGGCGTGAAGAGATTAAATGACTGGCTTAAGGCCACAGAGCTGCAATGGTCACATTCGGGGTTTGGACCCTGGTGGCCTGGGACCAGAGTTTCCAATCTGACCACCAGGCCTCCCCGCCTTGTGCCTCTGTGCTGGGTGACGTGTCCAGGACAACGGTGCCCGTAAGTAGGGGAGCATGTGTCCTTATCTCCCTGATCCTGACATTTTACCGTGAAGTATAACATTTTGAAATGTGTATCAGATTAAGGAGGGTCCCCTTTATTTCTAGTTTGCACATTAATTTAAAAACTATGAGTGGGTGTTGGGTTATATGAACTATTTCTATGACAGTTTTTATATGATCACCCCGCCCCAGATTATTTCAAAACAAACCCCAGGCCTCTGATTATGCATTGAATTTTCAATTCTTGTATGTTTCATTTCTGAGACTCCGTGTGCTTCTTTTACTAATTTGTTCTTTCTGGGTACTTTTTTATTCTTTGCTTGAACTTTTAGTCTCTTTCATGACTCCAAATATTAAGTATACTTATTTTATATTGTGTAGCTGATTATTCCAATCCTTGCTATCTTTTGGGATTTGGTCCTCTGATGTTTCTGCTGACTCTTTAACATGGTAACTTATTTCCTCATGTATGTTTTAGCTTTACACAAATGGATAATTGTGAAAATACAGGTGTTAATTGCCTCATGCCATATGATTGTGAATTTCCAATAATGTGACCTTCCCCAGGCAAGATCATTTTCTTCCTTTGACTAGATGAAGAGACCAAAGTTCTGACAGGTTAAAAACTTGTCTGAGGCCACACTGTCCATAAATGATGGAGCTGGGGCTTGAGCCTGGCCTGCTGTCCTCTGCCTTGACCCCCACCTTCCCGCAATGCACCCTCCATAGGGGACACTAACAGCCAGGTATGAACTTGACCTCCATTGACTTGAGGCTTCTGGGGTCTGCCTGGGTTTCCACAGGGGCCACCGAGGAGATGAAGAGCCTCATGAAGGCCTCCTACACCCCAGAGGTGATTGAGAAGTCAGTGAGGGACACGGAGCACTGGCATGGCAGGAAGACGGATGATCTGGGTATGTGGGAGCTGGGCAGGGTATGTTGGCCCCAGGTCCAGATAGAAGCCAGAGCGGCAGAGAGAGACCCGGGTGTGGTGGGGGGCCGGGACGAGGTATGGGTCACCACTGGGTGCTCCGGAGGTCCTCTGGGTGATCTGTGCTGGCTGCCCTGCTCTGCAGGACGGTGGCACCAGAAAAACGCTATGAACATGAACTTGCAGAAAGCACTGGAAGAGAAGTATGGAGAAAAGAGCAAAAGCAAGAACTTGAAGTACTAGATACGAGCCAGACGCGGTGCCCTCGACTCAGACAGTGCCCGTGATAAAGTAACAATAAAGGAAGAGAAAGGCACAAAGCGAAATCCTCTCCCCCTGCTGGTGACTCTCCTCATGTTGCGGAAGTGGGGGTACTGATGTGTGATGCTAGAGAAACCAACTGAGGGGGCACAGAAGCCCTGAGAGCCCCAACTCTTCCCCAGACCTGCCCCCTAGACAGACACACACACACACACACACACACTCACACACTCACACACACACACACACCCCTTCCCCCATAATTCTAGGAAAGGACATGAGAACTCAAGTCCCGTGTGCCAGGCTTCTCGCTCATGCCCTGTGTGGAGGTGGCAAACACCGCTGGGCATTACCTTGCATGCCCTCCCTAACAGAACCCCAGTTATTTCCAGACATCCATTCCTCCCATTCCTTCCCTATGAACCCAAGGACTTGGGAGGAATTGGCCACATCCCACTCCTATCCAGGGGTCATTTCGATTGGTCTCTCAGAAATTCTGACCCCTCCCCCAACACACACAAAATGATTGGTTCAGAAATGGGCATGTGACTCAATTTGGCCAATGAGATGCAAAGGAGTGTGTGTGTGTGTGTGTGTGTGTGTGTGTGTGTGTGGCCTTCTGGGAGATTCTTTGCTAGGAGAGCTGGAAGCATCACTCTCTCCTGTTGTACTGAGTGAGGAACATACAGCCCAGACCGCTCCTGGCAGACACAATCTGGGTCCTATGCAATTGGGGTCCTCCAGGGACCTCACAGAGCTGCTCTTACCTGGCCAGAAGCCTCCTGTACCTCTGGACTTCTTACAGTGTGAGCCTGGGCATCTGTTTAGAGAGCTAGCCTTAACCTTTAACTGACAAAGGGTCCCTGGTAACAACAGGGTAGGGACCTGGGAATTGGGGCCCAGGGAAGAGGACCCCAAAGAAGCGGTTCTGGGTTAGACAGTCATGTCTACCTGAAGCGTATTACCTGCTGGGTCTCCAAGCCAGCCACACACCTGACCCCCAGATCCCTGACTCGCTCTCTCAGAATATGCTCCACTCATGAGTTATTTGCGGTGTTGCAAACCACCCCAAAGCCTGGCGTCGTAAAAGAACAGCAACCATTCATCTGCCCGTGACTGTGCAGTTTGGGCAGCGCTCGGGAGGTGCAGCGAATCTCTGCTCCACGTGGGCTCTGCTATGAGATGGCTCTTTCCCTACAGACCAGGGGCTTCAGCTGGGACGAGTTCTACCGCTGGGGCTGGTTAGGTACCGCAGGGGCTGGCTAGGTACCGCAGGGGCTGGCTAGGTATCCCTGGGGCTGGCTAAGTATCCCTGGGGCTGGCTAGGTACCCCTGGGGCTGGCTAGGTACCTCTGGGGCTGGCTAGGTACCTCTGGGGGCTGGCTAGGTACCTCTGGGGGCTGGCTAGGTACCTCTGGGGGCTGGCTAGGTACCTCTGGGGCTGGCTAGGTACCGCTGGGGCTGGCTAGGTACCGCTAGGGCTGGCTAGGTACCCCTGGGGCTGGCTAGGTATCCCTGGGGCTGGCTAGGTACCTCTGGGGGCTGGCTAGGTACCTCTGGGGGCTGGCTAGGTACCCCTGGGGGCTGGCTAGGTACCTCTGGGGGCTGGCTAGGTACGGCTGGGGCTGGCTAGGTACGGCTGGGGCTGGCTAGGTATCGCTGGGGCTGGCTAGGTACCCCTGGGGCTGGCTAGGTACCCCTGGGGCTGGCTAGGTACCGCTGGGGCTGGCTAGGTACCGCTGGGGGCTGGCTAGGTACCCCTGGGGCTGGCTAGGTACCCCTGGGGGCTGGCTAGGTACCGCTGGGGGCTGGCTAGGTACCCCTGGGGGCTGGCTAGGTACCCCTGGGGCTGGCTAGGTACCCCTGGGGGCTGGCTAGGTACCCCTGGGGCTGGCCAGGTACGGCTGGGGGCTGGCTAGGTACCTCGGGGGCTGGCTAGGTACCTCGGGGGCTGCCTAGGTACCGCTGTCTCCTTCTGGCCAGCTGGGGCTTCTTCCTGGCATGGTGACTGGGTTCCAAGAAGGCGCCTTCCAAGGGGACAAGAGTCTATGTGCAAGAGCTTATCATGCCCTGCACCGGCTTGTTAATGTCCCTGTGGTCTAAAGGCCATGTGGTCAAGCCCAGACTCATGGTGGGAGGAGCCTGCCCCGGAGCACTCCTGTGGGCGGGTTTGGCTCACTGGGGACCACCACCACAACAGTCTGCCACGGCGATCATCTGCCTTGGAAAATCAAATGTGATCACTGCCGGGAGAAGGGGGGCTGCCCCTCTTCCCACACACAAAATGACTTCTTTTAAAAAATGTGTTTATTCATTTTTTTAAAAAATTTTTTCTTTATTGATTTTAGAGAGAGAGGAAGGGAGAGGGAGAGAGAGATAGAAACCTTGATGAGAGAGAACATTGATTTCCGCCTCCTGCATGCCCCCCACTGGGGATTGGGCCCGCAACCTGCGCATGTGCCCTGACCGGGAATCGAATTGGTGACCTCTTGGTGCAGGGGTCGACACTCAACCACTGAGCCACACCGGCTGGGCTGTTTATTGATATTTTAGAGAGGAAGGAAGAAGGAGCGAGAGATAGCAACATCAGTGATAGAGAGTAGCATCAACATCGATTGGCCGCCTCCCACGCACCCTGTACTGGGGATCAAGCCAGCAATCTGGGCCTGTACCCTGACCAGGAATCAAACCAGTGACCTCTTGGTGCACAGGAAAATGCCCAACTGCTGAGCCACACTGGCCGGGCTGGAATGGCTTCTTTAAGGTAGGATTGGAGCAGGGTGCAGTATCGGGGAGGTGAGTTTGGCTTCATTTAATATTTATCGAATACCTACTTCTGTGCAGGGTGCTGAGTTCAGCTCAGCGTCCTTACTGAGAACCTAATTTCTGGAAGACATCATTCTGTTCTTGTGCTGGAAAAAGCAGGCTTTATTGAGCAGCTACTATTGGCTCATCACTACGGCAACTGAAAAAGAAGAGCCACCCGCAGTATTGTAGCCAAAGCAAACCCTACACGGCTTGGTCATAACCTTAAAATATCCCAGATGCATAGATGATGTGCCGAATGCTTCACACATGCAGCCTTTCCTCAACCCTGACACCAGCCCTCAAAGCTATTACCAGCCTCTCCATGAAGACGAGCAAACGGAGGCTGGGAGAGGCCATGCAAATTGCCCAAGATAATACCAATAGGAAGCTGGGATCGAAAATCCAGAAATTTCTGAGCAAAGCCATTTTCTACGCTACCAGACAATCATACAGTCATGTCAATAAGTACATATCGAGTGCCACACACACTTGGCCCTGTTAGGCACCGTGGGGGCAGCGATGCGAATCTACTGCAGCCTTGTCCTCAAGGTCTCCACCGTCCGCAGAAGAGTGACGTGGGAGAAGCTGGCCGCGAGGCTCGTCCGTCCATCTGACGACATGCTCTGTGCACCCACCCTCTCTGCCCAGCCCTGACCGGTGCTCTGGGCGTTAGAGACGAATCCGACACGGCACCTGTTCTCTGTGTGTCCAGAGTCTGGTGGGGAGATAAGTCAGTAAATAGACGCCCGGAAGTTTTACACACGCAGCGAGAAGTTCACGAGGGGCCAGTGGAAGCACAAAAGAGACCCTGGGACGGGGGACACGGGCCAGGAGTCACAGAAGGCCTGGTGGAGGAGGTGGCTCTTGAGCTGAGTCCTGGGACAGGAGCAGGTACTTCGGACGGACTGGGAAGGCACAGCATTGCAGGCAGAGGGCGCCGTGTGAACACATCCCGGCATGGCGTATTTGGGGAGCTGCGGGGGTGGCAGCGTGCTAAGCCTGGAGAGTAGGACTGCAAGGTGGGCACCCGGGTCAGGTGGGAAAAGTAGAAAGAGAATCTATGCTTGGATGGGGCTGTGTGTGCCCTTGAGGGTCTTAGATGTGAGACCCAGCCCCTCCCCCAGGAGCTTACAGTCTGACTGGAACGTAAAGGGTTAACAATGCTCGAAGAAGCCACACAGAAGAGTTGAAAAGATGCTCAATATCCCTAATAGTCAGAGAGATGCAGATTAAAACAAAAGACTCATTGGGTTGGCAAACATTAAAATGGAAGCGTAGGTGAGGAGGGAGAAAATGGAAACTCTCCTACACTCCATGAATCCTGAGCGCAGAACAGCAAGGAAGAGTTTAACAAAATTAAAATGATACCTTATAACTGAAAACTCCATTTCTATGTAGCCTAGAGAAATTCAAACATACACACCAGGAGCCCCGCACAGAGAGATTCACTGTAGCTTTGTAATTGCAGAACAATGCACGTGTCTGAGCAGGGGAATGGACAAAGGGGCTGAAGCACAGCCGTGGGAAGCAGGGACCCGTCCACACACCAGCACAGAACAGTCCCACAATAGATCGCCGGGAGCGAGATTGCAGTCTGCAGAATGAGCCCCGTGGTGTGCAACGGACCATTTGCACACCCTTCCAGAGGCACGCACACAGCCACTCCGTTGCTCATGGATACAGCTATGAGAGTATGGGAGGTGGGTTGGACAGATGCTACAGAAATTCAACTTCACATTACACTGAGTTTTGCCCTTTTCAGACATAACTTTTATTTCTATAACTGCAAGAGAGGGCCACCAACATGCTCTCCAGGAGAACACCAGTGCCGGAAGGAGCGGCCGAGTACCCGGAGGCTGGGGAGTGGAGCAATGTTAATGTTGACCTAAGTGAAGAAATGATGCAACATTCATCTCTTCGCCCGGGTTAAAGATTTCATCTCAGAACACTAAGAGCAACCCTTTTAAATTAAACATTGAATATTTTGGAGAGAGAGAAGCTGTAATCTTGGCAAAATAAAACATGCATAGATTTTAAAAACTTAAATAAGGTCTTGATCTCACTGATGCTGTTTCTAACAGTGTTCCTTGTTCGTCATGCCCCTGGGGTCCCTAGATGGTGGATTCTTAAGTTTCAAGGAGGCGCAGGGACCAGGTCTTGAGTAGCACGAATTC